CTAACTGAATGCATTGCGTTTTTAAGCCTAGTCAGGTACAACGCCCTGTCGGAAAGATGTTTGAAAGTTGAAGGGGAAACAAACTCACCTGGTAGACGAAGAGTGGTCCCATAGAAGAGTTCTGCAGGGGTGCATCCAGCATCAACTTTCAAGGCGTTACGAATACCCAGTAGGACTAGAGGCAGAGCCTCGGTCCACTGAGGTATGTGTGCAGCTGGAAGGAAAGCTTTCAACTGTCGATGGAAACGCTCTACCATCCCATTTGCTTGTGGATGGTAGACTGTCGTTCGGGACCGGGTGCAACCTAAAAGTGCCGTTAGAGCGTGAAACAATCCCCACTCAAATTGGCGCCCGCGGTCGGTTGTGACGTAAGATGGACATCCGAAGTTCGCGATCCATCTTTCGGCGAAAACACGAGAAACTGTTTCAGCAGTAATATCCTTAATAGGCACTGCTTCCGGCCATCGTGTGAAACGATCAACGCATGTCAAAAGGTAGGTACATCCATTAGATTCTGGTAGGGGTCTAACAATATCTATATGGACGTGGTCGAAACGCATGTCCGGGGCTAGAAAAGAGCCTAAAGGGCTTTTCGTGTGTCGCGTGACTTTGCACTTTTGACAAGCTAAGCATGACTGAGCCCACTCCTTAACGTCTTTGTTCATCCCAGGCCAGCAGAAACGTGCGATAAGCCTAATGGTGGCTCGTACACCTGGATGAGAGTTTGTGCAACGTATTGAAGACTTTGCGTCGACAAATCTTCGGAATTATAGGGCGTGGTTGACTAGCAGAGACATCGCACAAAATTGTATCCTTGTCTGAGCCGACCAGACAAAGTCGTAGCTTGAGAGTTGTGGACGACAACTCATGATGCAGCTCAAGGTCTTCCTTTTGACGCCGGGCTAGTTCAACGAGATGAACGCCCTCGATATGATTTATCGAGGCTATTCGAGATAGTGCGTCGGCTGAGGAGTTATTTGCTCCAGAAATGTGGCGGACGTCTGAAGTGAACTGGGAAATGTAATCCAGCTGTCGCGACTCATGAGGGGAGTATTTGTCAGATTTCGAGTCAAGAGAGAAGGTTAACGGTTTGTGGTCTGTGGAAACAGTTAAGTCACAGCCTTCCACAGAATGTCGAAAATGGCATACAGAACAGTACATAGCTAGGAGTTCCCTACCAAATGTACCGGATCTTGTTTCCGTGTCTTGTAGCCGCCTCGGGAAAGAGGCTAACGGTTGCCACTGGTTGTCAGTCAATTGTTGCAAAACTGCTCCAATTGCTGAATCAGATGCGTCAACAGCAATACTCAGAGGAGCACTGGGGTCATGATGCATAAGCATGGTTGCGTTCGAAATGGCTTCCTTGACTTTGGAGAAAGCAAGTCTAGCCGCGTTGTCCAGAGACACGAACTTCGTAGTTCCTCGAGGTAGATCTGTTAGTGGTCTCATGACAGAGGCACAGTTGGGAATAAACCTTCGGCAATAAATTACCAGGCCGTTGAAAGTATGGAGCTGCTTCACAGCGGTCGGCTCTGGATGGTTCGTGACAGCCACCACTTTATCTCTCATTGGGCGTATAGCTTTGTTGTCAATGGTATGCGGAAGGACGCTGAGTGATTCAACTCCTATTTCACACTTCTGTAAGTTTGGAGAAGATGTTCATTCCGCATAAGGTTGCAGTCAAATTGTAAACGTGAGGTATCGGGTAGCAGTCCGGAGTTATTTTGGCGTTAAGCCTTCGGTAATCACCGGTTGGACGCCAGTCGTTGCTATCCTTTTTGGGAACCATGTGCAATGGCGATGCCCAAGGACTGTTTGACGGTCTGATAATGCCCAGTTCGAGCATGTGGTCGAATACACTTTTCGCCGTTTTGAGCTTATCGGGGGCCAAACGGCGCGCTTTGGATGCCACAGGTGGACCTGTGGTCGTCACGTGATGCATAACATTGCTAGTTATGCATGGGAGAGTGTGCTTCGGTTGCTGCAACTCTGGATATTTCTCCAGAACTGCTTGGTAGGACGCGTCGCCCGATTGTTTGGTTCTGACGGTGGCCAAACTCGGACCTACATAGGTGGTGCCGCCAATAGATAACTTTGTGTCGTTATCCATCAGTCGTCGACGGCGAGCATCTACGGGTAGATCGTAATGGTTCAGCAAATCTATGCCAATGATGGGCATAAGGACGTCAGCAAGGAGGAAGATCCAGTGAATAGGTTTGCGTAAACCTAAGTTGAGGTAAGCATACTGTCTACCGAAAGTCGCGATTGCCTTGCCGTTGGCTGCTTGAAGATTGAAGGATGGGTCAAGATGACGCTCCTTTATCGTCGCTGGAAGAAAGCCAACTTCTGCGCCGGTGTCGATGAGGTAGCGGACTTCCGTTTTAATGTCGGCGACGTAGAGCAAACGGCCGTTTCCGCCGGCTACGGTTGCCGTGACCACGTGCCGGCGTGACCGTTTCCCGAGTTGGCGTCCCTCTTAAAACGGCATGGTTTACGACATTTTCTGGCTTCATCTTCGTAAGCGTTATGAAACCAGCACCATTCAGGGTTTTCCACCCTGTTAGGTTTAGTTTTCGGACCACCACGCGAGTTGCTGCAACGTGCCAAGGTGCGTTTCTGTGAAGTGCTACGTGAGTTAGGACTTCGAGATCGTAGCAACTGTTTAACAGAGTTGCACAGCTTTGTCACCTCCGAATCCTGGCTCTCTGGTTTGTCGCAGATAGAATATACGTTTGAGACGGGTCTGCTGGAAATCTCCAGTATCTTATCTGCTGAGGTTGCCACGTCATCGAGTGGGACTGACTGCAGTGTCACCAACACGGTTTGCACCGGTTGTGGTAGTTTCGAAAGGAATAGTTCTCGAAAGAAACCACCGTCGAATATTCGTGCACCGATTACTTTTCGCATGCGTGCGAGGACTTCAGTAGCTGAGTGGCTGCCTAGCTCGATGTTACGAAGCAATTAGTCTAGACGTTGGCGATCTGTCAGATCGCTTTTCTTCAGGAGTGCGGCCTTAAGAAGTGCATAAGGATCACTTACTTCTGGATTAAACATGTTTGCTGTAACATACCCGCTTAATTCTCGCGGTAGTGACCGTATGACAGCAAAAAATAGAGAATGAGGATCTGAGACACCCTGTTCTCAAAAATCTGCCTCGGCATACAGAAACCATGTTTCTGCATTGTCTGGCCAATATGGCACGAGTTGGATCGTGTTCGTAGTCGGCTTAATACGAATAATCTTGGGAGTGTGGTCGGACATGAGAAAGTGCAGTAAGTGGATACATAAATGTTATCGAAGTGAAAACAATAGACAAATATAAAATGGAACAGGCTCACCAATTCAATATTTGTTATTGGTTGGAATATGTGATCACGTCGGGATATTTAATCACTTCGGGATATTCGGTCACGTTGGGCTCACCAATTTAGGATTTGTCCTGGTGCGAACTTGACAGACGCAAAGACCAATCACTAATTATTCGGACTTGTTATTTACCCACGAATTCGAGACCAAGGGAGAACACGATAGCGTGGTCGGATGGAATAGTATATTTGGATGGTTGTGCCAAAATACCGATGCGTTCCAACTAACTGGCTAGAGAGTCGAATACGAGCAATGCAACGTAACACGACAGCGTGCCAAATGGCGAGGATGCTTGACCGGGTGCCTTCAGCTTAGCAAGTCCAGTTAAACTATCAAGGTCAGCATCAATGTCGAAAGTCGTTAAACCCTAGGCTATTGATTTTGGGGAAGTGTGTGACGCCACACTACTTTCCACTTCAGCAAACAACAGAGGGGGAGTACGTGAAAAGTTTATTGAGAATTTATCTAAGGGATGGGACAATATGTGCATAAGTAGCTAGTAGGTTTTGAGCGGTCTGTGAAGTTTCTGAAGAGTAATCCTGTGGGTGGCGCTTCTCATAAACTCCGCTGTGCGTCTTTAAAAAGTCTACGTGATCTTTCACAGTTTGCCCGAGTCAACAACTGCATTCCACACATCAATGGCGAAGTAGGCATTCTCATTTCTCCGATGTCTACGGCCCCCTGGTTACTTTCAGTATGCCTTCGCTTGCAGTCTCGTAACCATCGTGTAGTGTCGAAATACGTCTGTGAAGAAGTGAATTAACGTCTCAGAAGACTTACCAAAACTAAAAGACTGAAACCTATACACATAAATCAAATGGCTACGGGGCATTAGCATTACTGTGCATGTGTAGCAGCAGCACTTGCACTCATATTTATCGACCATGTAGCACTTGTGTCCTGCCAGAGAGACTACGTAGGCCTCCGCAGATTCAACTGCCCGCAAATTTCCATGCGTCACCATAGTTTAGTACAAATAATGTACTGCGTATTTCGTTAGAGAATGCTGTGCACCAGGGGTTGGGTCGCCCGTCCATAATTACAGAGGTTAGAATGGTGAACTTATATCACACTGCATGGAGTGGTGCAAACCATGATTTCCTTTGTTGGCTTCCTAGCGATATAGTTCTATGGAGCCTTCCTATGTTTCCTAAAAGCTCAACTGTAGAGGAAAGCATTTATGCAACATTCTCCACGTCCACTAGGTGTTCTGGAAGAGTTATACTGTACCGATCAACTTAACAAGGAAAAACAGTATGCTGGTACGTGTATTCCGGATGGATGCTATTGTTCTCGTCTCTCTTCAGAAAATGACAAATCCTGTGCAAGCTGTTAGTTTTCTTTAGCATTTAATGACGACTTCATCAAGTAAACAATTCAGCTGTTGGAATCCTTTGATATGGCAGGATCCTGCTATATTCATAAGCTTCCATCCCTCATAAGCTGTATGAATTCAGTTACGACAATTACTGACATAACAATCGGTCTGAAAGACATTTTCATGCTCCTTTACCAATGCGATTGTTACCTACATGCGTCTCTGTTACGTGAGAACTAACCCTACAGGTTGGCAAGGCTAGAAACAAGTACCTTGGCTTTTCTGAGGACCACATAAAGTTGGCCAATCAGAACAACTATTTCTCTTACTCGCGCGAAATTTGATACTGCGTTTTGCAGGTGAGAAGCGCGTCCGACGACTGGCACCCTAAAGCGATGACGGAAGGCAATGAAAAACTTAAACAGATGGAAGAGGAAATGGATAGGTGATTGTTTTTAGAGGACTCTGTATCATTTTTATACAGGTTTGAAGCTGAAATCGCCCATCAGTCATCTGTTTCAACCTCGAGCGTTCCATTATCAGGTGGTTTTACTTTTCCACCGGTAACTAGCTTTATGCCTCCTCAGTTGCGTGTACATCAAAACCCGACAAATATCATTCAACCAATATACTCAGGTATGAAAAATCATGGTTTGGACTCTTGTTTTACTGTTAATCACTTGTTATATACGTATATTTATATTCGTTCAAACCTTCCCAGTCAACATTTTCGCGGAGAAACGTGGGGCAAAACACGGGGAAATGTTGCACAATCCCACGTTTCCCCCGTGTTTTCATGGCGATCTGAAACATGACCCCGAGTTTTGTCCCGCGAAAGTGTTGACTGGGTTTTCGGGGTGAGACGTACAGAATAACGCCATTATCTCTTCCAATCATTCAAGTCTGTTTACCTAGTCTACTGTTTTTCTATTTTGGCAAGGTTAAAATCCTCATTGGGTTACCCTGATGCTCAGAGTTCATAACTTTTCACAATCCTAGTATAAAATTTACAAGATCACATTAATGAGTACTGATAGTTTGAATGTTCGTAACTCATTCAGAAAAATGTAGTTAGGAGCAGTTTTTATTGAAAGTGGCTTGAACTCACTACCACTCGTCCTAGAAATATCCTCGTAATGTATCATTCATTTGGTGGCAGTTAGCCTACCTAGAAACTTAATCTTGGACTGATGAAACGTATGCGTGTTACCCCTTGGTATGTACCAGCTGTCATTTTTTTAAGAACACACTCCTCTTGAAGAGACAAAACCGACGTAGGATCTCACACAGAAGTGTATCAGTTTACGTTGCCACACTACAGTAGCATGTTGAGAATAAGTAGATGGAAAGCCTAATATCAAAGTAGAAAAGTGTGAACAGGAAGGGAAAGAATTTGAAAGTCAGTAGAAATGCCGAAGCTGTAGAAGATGTCAAATGGGGATGCATCTGCGCCGGTGTGATTGACTTTCAGCCATGTTAATCAATTCCATTTAATATATTTTTCCTTGTTTGGCTCAGACCATCAGTCATCAGTTGGTACCACGTTTTAGTCTGAGTCTTCTCTCCTCTAGCATTGTTCATTGAAGTAGGTGATGGTTCCTCATACGCAACCCATATCCAGGCTGCCTCAGTTGCTAATGGTTCACAGCCTCATCGACTGGCTTGCATTACTTTTCGAGTATTTTTCTTCTGATCTCGACATTGCTAACATGGTGGTCACACCATATTCAAACAGTGCTACGAAGGCACCTGAGGTCACAAACCTGTAGCTTTTTCATACCTTCTGTCCTGGAGAATCATTTCTCTCAGTAGTATTACAGAACAGAAAGAACTTCATCTCATTATACTCATCGAATATCTCACTATTACCAGATATGACACAAGTTAGCAAATGTCAAACGGGTCTTCTGTATACCAGCTGAAATTTTATCAGCAAACAGCCCGTTCGGGTTTTAGTATAGGGTTCCAAAACTGACATAGAGTAATGTGATTATGTGTACCTGAACTAATCGAAATATGTTGTAACCACCAACCCATATCTTCATTGCACGTAACTATGTGTTCAGCTTTTATAAGTCGTTTGTCAATATATACAAAGGCATTTGGTCGCAAATTTTGCCAAGAACGTAGTTTGAACCTCGTCTCTTTTGAACTTTTCAGATGAGATATAGAGGGTATAATTTCATCTATGTCTGTGAGACACGCATACAGGACCCACGTGCAGTTATTCACCTAACCTCTCCCGGCCAATCTGGTGAATCCGCAAAATTCACCGTCCTAGTAACTCGGATTTTGTAATACCAATCACATTGCTAATTTTCTTTAACCGAAAGGACGATTAATTAGGTGGGAATGTGAAAGAGAGCGGTCGCGAAATTCGGTAAAATTATCTCTCTACGTACATTAAAATAGTCTACTGTGGGTCAAATGAAAAACATATTTTCAGGACTAAATTCTTAAAGCAGTTCTTTTAATTAGATGGTTTTACAATAAAGTTTATGTGTAATATAGTTTAAATATGCGTTGGAACATCGCTTCATATTTTAGGCATTTTACTAACCGTACAGACTGAAAATATTAAAATAAGGGAGAGGAAAATGTTTCTGGTACTGTACTTGGTGATACCTTTTCACTTACAAACTGTCAATTTACTTAACCTTTAGTCAAGCGATACCTTTCCATGATATGAGTGACTTCGTTAACAAAATCATTTCACTTTGGAGTGCAGTTCACTGACTACTAGGTTGATAAACCGGAATGATATTTTTTTCACAACTGCAATACCTACAGAATAAACATACTGAGGTTGTAACTGGCCTATGAGTCCACATATAACACACGTAAAAGGAATGATTCATCGCCTATTGTAATAATATGGAAAATTTTCATAGATTAATTTTAAATAAATAAATAAACTGTTGGACCACATAAAGAAAGTTTGAAAGTCGTATGATTACTTTGATATGAATATGAGCAGTAAATTCTGCTCGAAACGTCATCTATCTAGTAAATTATACTGTCTTTGTGTGCGACATCAAATAAACAATCAAATATGAAATTATACTCTACAACGGTGCCAAAGTATTTCCCTTACACATTTCGAATATTGTCACAACCCACTTGTTCGGCGGTGTACACATCACTACATATGACAATACACTAGGCACCACCAGGTTTTGTGTTTAAGCTTGAAAAGCCTGAGTAAGTTGAGCTTAATTTATTTTGCGGCTTCTCTGAAGTTATATGCGGCGTAAGAGATACGTAGAACTGATGAAATGAAAGCAGAAGTAATGTGGAAATTGTTGAGGTTATATGAGGTTTTCAAATTCACCCTTATGTACAGTGATAATACAACTACTTTCAGCTGCCAATCATGTTTTATCAGGGCATCTCTCTATATCGCTTGCTGAGTAATTCTCCTAGCTCATATACTTTCAAGTTTATGCTTGTGATATTGTTTATGACAGCAGATGTTCTCTCTATGGATACTAGGGTGACATTTAGCACCAATAAAAGTAAACAAGTTAAGCCTTGAGCTTATAAAAGAAATTTTTATCGAATTGCGATAGAGAGTAGTACGGTAAACTTCTGACTTTTCGTAACTGCTTCTCTTAGGAAGCGACTTCTACGAAGTAGTAGAATATCAGTAATCTAATTTCTTACTTCATGGAGTGGTACAGATACGTTTCTTTCGTAAAAAACTTTCTCATTAAGCTAACTAGCTCAAAGAACGTAACTTTTCCAAAGGTATCCTCTTAAATTACGACCTTTCTTCATTATCTCACCGACCGTTGTCCTCCTTCTCTTCATCGTTTTGTTTCGTTTATTTTTTTCTCAGAAACGGATGACTAAAAGATGTCTGATAACCTCACCAACTAAACAGCGTTAGACACCAATATGTTTTTGTGTCTAGTAGATATATTGAACTTTTATTGTTTTGAACCGTAGACTGATCTAGTTATTGTACGAAAAAACAGATAGTACTCTGTGCTGAATAGTAGCAGCTTCATTCGTGATAATTAACGTATTTCAAAGGGTTGTTTCAGTGTAAATAATTTGAAATGTGAACTTCTTTTCTCACAATCTCTGTTACTTGCACATGTTAGTGTAACCATTGGTCTACTATACCACGGGTGCCGACAAGTTTTTCAAGTTTTTATATATATATATATATATATATATATATATATATATATATATATAATTATTATTATTTTCCCCTTGGGTTTCCTAGTGGAACATAGGGCTTCATCGGTCCAGCCAGCGTATGCCACTCTTCTCGCTCCTTACGGTTCTCTGCATGATCCAGTTGAGTCCTGTCGACCACAATCAGGAAGATCATCGGTGATAGTAGACAGCCTTGTCTCACTCCTTTCTTCACTTCAGAGGCGTCACTGAGCTTTCCATTGTGGATCACTTGGCATGTGGCGTTTTCATATAGCTGTTGAATGAGGTTGATAAAGATTTGTGGCACTCCGTTGTGTTGAAGCAGTTGCCAAATTACTTCTCGGTAGATGCTGTCGTAGGTCTTTTCAAAGTCGGTGAAGTTGATGTGAGGTAGAGAATTGACTGCCATTCTATGCTCTGTTTTATGATGATGCGTAGCGTAGCATTGCAATTTGATCCGCACATGATTTGTACTTCCTGAATCCAGCTAGCCTGTTCCGGTTGTCATTTTGAATCGAGAGCATCGTTTAGTCTCCCCAGGATGATGCGGCGTAATATTTTGCTTGGAACAAACAGCAGCATGATTCTGCTCCAGTTCCTGCAAGGACTTCGGTCTCACTTTTGGAGTTTGACAAGGTAGCTCTTCTCCCAGTCATCATCATCATCATCATCATATATATATAATCGCTGCAATCTCTTTTTTATTTATCCTCTAGTTTTGCCGATGCCACCTGGAATATCCATGTTCGTTCCTTTATCTCAACCTCCTGTATCGTGCTACCCCATGAATGTTACTCATGCACATTTACCACCATCCAATCAAGTTTTCATGCCTCCAAAAACATCGAGTGCATCAATCCCAACTTCAAAAACAGAAACAGTTTCTACTGCGTCCGTTAATAAAATGAATAACAGTGAACTGAATCCTGTTCAGAAAGTCATTACTGCCCCACCACAAATGGCAGGTCCAAACGAACTGGCAGCTCGAGCTAAGGAAGCCGCTGCTGCTGCTGCGGCTGCCAAATCCAAAACTGAAGATGAAGATGATGACGTTACTCGAGCGTTGTTAGCTGCAGCAGCGGGAGTTACGTACACACGTGTTCAAGGTCGGGATGGCAAAGGTAGGTCATATATACATATAAGTGTTATATAGCCCAATATTCTTACTAATGCTGTTATGAATGTGACCACTATTAACAAGGACATAACTGATTTTCCAGTAGGTCTTTGTGAAGAAAGCGATGGTACTGCAACACAGTCTTAAGTATTTTGAGCTGTTTTTAGTATGTCTAACCTCTCATACTATGCCTGAGTACTAACCTCTGTTTACTGAAGAGTGATTTTACCTCATTTCGGCAGACAGTTGAAGCGCATTTCAAATTTATGAAACGATGATTATCAGAAAAGTATCGATCTCGTTAAGCCATTGCTTCACAGTTTTCTCTTCGAACTGAATATATGTAGGTAAGCTAGCTCAAATTCTTACTTGGTGTAAATGTGAGCGGTTTTAATGAAAAGATTTTGATGCTGTCCTTATCCCACACGTTTATCTTATTCGTCGCTTTAAGGTAAACAGAAGTGTTGCTATTTAAATGTTGTCTCGTGGAAAAGTGACCATTAGTTTTCGGCTCCTACGAAGCAGCGTGGATTTAATGCCATCGATATAGAGCTATTGCCTTTGAAGTCTAAAACTGGTAGGTTTTATATTTTGTAGACTAAAATGCTGAACTGGTGAAGACCGCTTCCCTTCATACATGGTATTTTGGTTACATGACTAGAGAGAAACATGTGTTAGATTTTTTATTATTGTCAAAACACCTGCATGAACGTAACTTCTTTTCACTTGAACACTTGCTGGACGTCATATGCTCTATATACTGCAAATTTCCATGCATTTCATGAAGTCAAATATTTAGGAAGAACTGAGAGTAGGTATTTTGTGAGCTTTATAGGAACTTTGTTTTCCTCGTAAGAAATGAAATCCTCACGAGTAAAATCCTCAGAAACTTCTGGCAGCAGTTTATACAGTCAGCGTCATCCGGTCGTTCAAAATGTTAAACAGAAAATGGCAGGTGTTTTTGCTGTACGGAAGCCATTATAATCAAGGGCTTCTGGCTTGATCTCTGTATGCATATACACAGTATAATCAACGGTGTATCGGCCTAGTAACCACCCCACTTATTTTTGTTGATTTATTGGTTTCCAATCGTTAGGTTCAACTTATTTTCGCCTTATCGCTCCTCATTTGCGTAATAAAACCATCATCATAATTACCACCATTATAGCCCACTATCTTGAATTAATTCTACGTAAGTCTAGAATTCACCATTCATCATGTACAGAATCAGCGATGATTTTCATTGTATTTTCTAGACTACTGGTGCATTGTCTATTTTTGATTTTACTTTCAATACCCGCATTGAGATGTGATATTACCAGAACGAATGGCTGATTTTATATAATTAAGCGAATCGAACGTTGGATAGATGAATAATAACAATAATTTGTTTCCGGAAAAAATCAGTCACATCGAAAGCTTAATTTCGGACGTTTTGAAATCACTTGACAGCTCTTTCTTCGGTGAATCAAACATTTACAGGTTGTTATATATTTAAATAGCAAACGGGACGGATCAAACTGCATTATTTTTACCTGTTACATTCGGTACATAGATGTGTGTCAACCTGTACGGGTTTCATTCTCTTAAAAAGTAATTTTCAAAAAATCAGAAAACAGAAATTTTGCTTTCAAGTTTATTCGTACTCTATATATGACTAGTGTTATTACGATTCTGTTTCTACTGATTTTCTTCAAGCTTATTTGCCTATCAACAAGCGTTATTTCATTAGTGCCTTCAGTGTAATGTCACAATTAACATGCTGATTGTGATTATCTTGACTTTGGTAAGGTTTATCAGTTAAATGACAATATAAACTCGATGAAACATGGGCACCAAGAAATTCGCAGCATGGTTAACCCTTCCTAATGAGCGAGTTTTCGGAAGCCTATTTCCACTGTTGTTCAACAAGAAGGAATTGAGTTGCGAATATCTGTAAAGTTACCATGCTCAGCTGATTCTCTCTAGTATCTTGTACATAGCAACATATTCTTATACCATGTGTATGTTATCAATCAGTTTTAGGCTGGTGGTGATTATATACCTTGTGCTTATGTTCATCACAAACAAAGTAGCTATCATAAATAATAAAAGCGCTTATTCTGGACATTCCAGGTATTCGATTTATTTATACCTGCATATTTATATTCTGTTTGTTCAGAAAAAGTTATGGCTAGCATTACTAAACCGCCTTTAACACCTGTCACCTCACAGTCAAATAAAAAACCAAAATCAAGCGACCCCTCTGCAGATACAGAAGCTGACAAAGTGACACAAACAATTCCACTACCAACTGTACCACCACCTATTTATCGTCCAACCAACACAAACACAAATGACCAATCATACAAAACAAAGAAGTACATACGTGCCGCTGCTGGAGCTACTTGGGAAGACCCAACTTAGCTGAATGGGATCCAAGTGAGTATTTCAAGATTTCATAACTTGTAGTTTTTTATTCCTGATATTTTGGATCTGTTTGCTCGATCAAAGTTTTCATTTGGTAAATACAGCCACTAAGTAGCCGAGCTCAAGTAAAACGGAGACGAAACTAAGATAAAGCTTTGCATACTATCTGGGTTTATGAAGAATATTCCAAGTTGTTATTCATTGTAGACTGACATCAGTTGGAGGAGCAAACGAAACCTGGGAGCACTGGATAGCTGTTTCGTCCTAGTACGAGGCTCCTCAGCAGTGCGCACCCAAGACCCCGCCAGGGATCGAACCCGCGACCTTCAGGTTCCATGGTTTGTACGTTGCCATTGAGCCACTGGGTCAGAATCCAATTGTCCATATTCCCAACTTCTGTTAGCTCACGATGTAGCGCAACCGCCACCCAATGTCATCTTTGAGTAACTATCCTCACGACCATCAGGCTTTGCTCCCACCAATCACGAATATTGGCAAGAAAAAGAAGAGGCTTAGCGAAACTGTCGCCGAGAAGGGTGAATCAATGATAATCCTTTCGGACTGAATACGAGAATAAATGGAACACAATGAAATTTTATTGGGACATATTTGCCATAAATCCGACTTGATTTTAAATGGAGTGTAGGTGTCGATCCTTCGACTCACACCAAAGTCAAAAAAGGTGTCTCAAACCCGAAATGATGCAGAGTAGCAAAACTCAACGATTCGGCTTCAGAAATCTTTTAGGATAGGGGTCGAAAATCATTGATTTTAATAGCTGAGGTAGTGGCTATAGAACGCAAATGCAAGCGCGATCTGAGTCATCAAGCATTTCAATTTTTAAGAAAAAGAAATCTGTGTGGCAAAAACAGAGCAGTCGTGACTTGAATCCTAGCTCTATAGTTATCTGATGCTTAACTGAAACTCTGAAGGAACAAACTGGAGAAACAAGCCAGGTTTCACGCAAATGAAATAAAATAATGAGGTGGGACTTAACCATATGCAGTTTCATGTACTGAACTATCAACCCAACTTATCGCTTGAGACGTTGTTGTGATACTTTAGTTATCTCGTTTGTATAGCGGTAATTTTAATAATAATAATAGCCTTATTCTGAAAGATACTTCAGGAATACTCTACAGAATTTTCAGCATGTCATATATCATCAGTTAGACAGACAGTGTATATGTACACATATCAAAATGAAATAAGTAAAAATTACATGAAGAAAAGATATTAATATTCACTCCAGTTACAGCTTTCTTGAAAATGTGCAGTTAATTTAGGTAGACAACCACATTAGCAATTGGATTCATAATACGTAAAAAGTAACACTCTTCAATTAGTTTGCTTTCAAAACAGAATTTGATTAGTCAGTTCATTTCTAGTACTTTCTTCATCACACAACAGACGAGCTAAGTACGGTATTGTAGAGTTTTTATATTTTGTAGTACGTACATAGAGTTTTATGTACTTGCTCCTCGTCTTTCTAGAATACCGACATGCAGAGAGCTTTGAGTGAAGAGGATGTTGGTCATCTGATAAAATAACTTCTGCCAGATATTTACAAGAGTTAGTATATTTGTCCACAACTGTTTTAACTAGGTTTACGGGTACACCACTAGTTCTGCTGACAATCTTCAAAGTTCTACGCAATATAGCATTCTCTTTTTTCAGCAACCCAGGACAATATAGAGGGGAGTAATAGAGGAGAACATACAAGATATAGAAGTTTATAAAACACAAGATAAGAGGTTGAGTTATACCAGATACTCTCAGTTTCCTAATACAGAAAGTTGGGCAGAAAATGTTTTTGGAAGTTAGTGAGATATGGGAAGATCAGGAAAGGTTCGAAGAAAAACACATTTAGGTAAATCACATTTGTAGCATTCTCTAATGCACAACTATCAATAGAACAAGAGTCATGAGAACTGAGCACTTTACATAAGTTATGTTCACATCTAAAACTAAAGTTTATGGTCTAACATTCTGAGGAATTAAGCATAAAACCATTCTCGGAGGACCATCGTCTAACAGTAGATAAGAAAATCATTCAGTTGGGAATAATCAACTGAAGCGGGGATAGGTATGTAAACTGTTAGGTCATTGTTATATTTAATGAAATTGATACCGGCTGAAGATGGTAAGTCATGCAGAAAGAATGAGAGTTGTTTCCGAGAACTCCTAGCGTGAGCAGAAATACGTATACAGATATGAACTTGTGTTCCAGACTTTCCCGACTGACAGATATCAGCAACACCTACGGGAGAAAACAAAATCAGAAGGCATATGGCTCGAAATTTCGATAAGTTACATTAGCCCAATATCCAGTACGAATCGAGAAAATCGGCTTTATTACAAATTTGTTATTGATTCGCAAAGAAACGTCAAAATGAGGTTCGTGTGGTGGACTCCATGACTGCACCACCAGAACTCTGGTGTGAGAACGAGTAGATTTAAGTGTTCCGAGGGAGAAATAACAATGGTAGAGGTTAAAACGAGTGCATGTCAAGTACTATATTATAATAAGATGGTGTATGTTCAGCTATATTACTGAATTATGAAAATTTCATGTTTAGTGATTGATAAGGCCAATAGTAAAGAAAATACAAACTGGACATTAACCGATGGTTCGTAGCTTTGGGATCAAGATAGTGTGTAGTGAACAGTAAATAAGCGAATAAAAGTACGAATAGATGGTGAACGTGACAGCAGTATGGTAGACGAAGAAAAATGGACTTAATTTGGCAAGATGGTATCCATCGTAGACTGACATCAGTTGGAGGAACAAACGAAACCTGGGAGCACTGGACAGCTGTTTCGTCCTAGTATGGGACTCCTCAGCAGTACGCACCCACGACCCCACCAGCAGGGATCGAACCCGCGACCTTCAGGTTCCGCGGCCAGCGCGTTACCACTGAGCCACTGGGTCAGAATCCAATGGTCCATATTTCCAACTTCTGTTAGCTCACGATATATAGCGCAACCGCCACCCAATGTCATCGCTGAGTATTTGTCCTCATGGCCATCAGGCTTTGACTCCACCGATCACGACTTGTCATTGGAACTTCGGGAATACTTTGTTCCTCCAACTGATGTCAGTCTACGATGAATAACAACTTGAAATAATTCCAAATCTCCACAACTCCCTCGAGATGGTATCCATCACCGGCTGAAATCAGTTGGGGAACCATTAATAACCTGATAGCAGTTTCGTCCTGGTATGAGAATTCTTAGCAGTGCGCACCTCGCCAGGGGTCGAACCCTGAACCATCAGTCCTCGTGGTAAGCCTGTCACCATTCAGCCACTTGATCGGAATCCAGCTGTCCACATTTTTCTACTTCTACCAGTTTCAGATATAGCTTAACCATAATATAATACTTTCTGATTTGCTATTCAAAAGTTTTGTATCAACACATTAGACAGTTTTATCCTAGAAAACTATCTTTTGAAGTTGTTTAGAAGCTATTTTACGAATTGCTGGTATTGATTCTCGCTTTTCTAAAGTATGCTAACTAAAGTTTCTGTTTTGCTGGCTTTTTCTGTTTGGTGAAAAAGAATTGGTTTACTTCTCGTTGGTATAACAAGGGGTTTTTGTTGATCCAAATAACTTTAGGAATGTCAAACTACAGTAAAGCAGCATTATTTAAGGCAGGATTTCTAACAAAAATATATTCATTGCCATTTTCAGTTTCCAATGTTTTCTGAGACTAGTGGAACATGTCTCTTTTGTATATAATCCTTCAAACTCTCTGTGTGGATGGCTAGATCTTTAGCAATACAAAGGAGACGAAGAAGTGCTACCTTTGGTAGGTTTCTTTTCACCTTAGATGTCAATTTTAAAAGTATCCCGTCGAAATTGAGTAGTTAATGTTGACGATGTTTTCATCTTCCGCAATTATTATGAAGCTTTGTTTGCATACCAATCTTTCCGTGAACAAGGTGATTTGAAAAGTCACCGCAGTTTGTAGCTAATAGATTCTCGGTTCAATTTCTCCTCTAATCTAAATCAGCCGTTTGTTCAGCTGAGCTGAAATTAGTTACAACGTAGCAATAAAACGTTATTGTGGACATTAAGCCTTTATCTAGTAGTTCACAAGAGCATACTTGGATTTATCCACCGAGGTTTATGCAACCTAATGTTATCACAAGCTATTGCACATTGGTATGTAGTGTGCATGGTCACTGAGGTTGTTTAATTACTTAAGGGAATCATTAGAGGTTTGATGCTTAGTTTTAGGGAAGTTTCCGTACACGTTCCAATGCACTAGTATTTAATAAACAACCTTTTAATCCAACTTTTCTTAGCTGTTATTCACATTAATTTTCCTAAGTGGAAGCTGAACTTGAGGCGAATAGTGTTTGCTATTTCCCCCGACTCACTAGTATGTATTCTCATGTAGTATTTTATGTAACATGTTTTCTTGAGATGGACTACTGCTTATCTTTATACAGATGTAAGCTGTTTTCGAATCCGGCTATGAAATAATCATCACGGTCAAATGTTTTGATACATTTACAGGTCTTATGATGTGGAGAAAGCTGTATTTTTAATGACGCGAATTTTTGTTGTGAATAATATAGAAAATGTTTCATTGATCTCTAGGTGATTTTCGATTATTTGTGGTGATCTGGGTAACGAAGTGACGGATGATACTTTGTCGCGGGCGTTCAACCGTTACTCTTCATTTCAAAAGGCAAAGGTTGTTCGAGACAAACGTACTGGCAAGTCTCGTGGTTATGGATTTGTCAGCTTTTCTGATCCTATGGACTTCACTCGTGCCATGCGAGAAATGAATGGTGAGTGAAAAGCTATTCTTATTGAGAATATTTTAAAGGTGACTGAATATAAAAGTTCTGTCGGGTTGGCTGAAGGAAATACACCTGTGTGCTCGGCTGGAACGTAAAGTATTCATTTATTAGAAGAGTTAGCTAGGCACTTATCAGAAGATGGCAGCGATCCCTATCCTTATCAAGGCCGGCGTAATATTCAGTCTGCTTTAGAAACAGCCATTTAGAAACCTGCAATCAAAGCTTAGGGTTGAGGCAGTGTATTTCCCCAACTGATTGACGCGAAAGACTCACTCTGGTTAATTCTGTTCATGATGTGGAGCGTAAGTAACTTAAAAGTAAGCTAACTTACAGTCCTCACAGTGACCGTGCGGAGTTATGGGTTGCAAAACGAGCGGAGAATGCATCAGCGTTAGGTGATACTTTCCGAGAGCTGCTACTTGACGTGGTGGTCGGGTTTTATATCACTATACCCAACGAGCTATGTTGGTGGAACACTTGTTCTTTCGAGGTACTGTCATACCAGAAAGGTTTGTTGGATAATGGTTAGACGAAAAGTAGTTACCACTACAGTGTAGATTGCTAAGCTACGGTGGGGAGTCTAAAGGTGAAGTTGTATTGGTGACTAAATGGGGGTGACAGCAGTAAGGTGCTTCCACTGGATAACCAGCAGTGCCATGCTAATGCTACCTTCCCTATAAGAAAGGGGCTTAGAAGAGGTCAGCCCCAAAAGTAGAAAACCCCTACCCTCGGCGTCATGCTGATGCCTGCGGCAGGGATTCGCAGTCCAATTCGAGAGTGAAAAACCAAAATGTCACGCTGACCAAGAGGCTGTGTATGACCGGTCTCAAGCGGATGTCTCTTAAGGTCTGCTATCATGCACTAGTCCTTCTGACTTCCCTTAAAGATTAGGAGGCTTTAGTCCTAAGCAAGGCTCTCTACTCGAACTCAGACTGCTGTATTAAGGTCTTAAGTAACGAAAATCAGCGGTGTCTGTAAATGCGGACCATTGGATTCCGACCCATTAATTGAATGCTAATGTGCTCGCCACGAGACCCGACGATATCTGATATTATCCTAGGAATCAATTCTATTAAGGGTCGCGTGTACTGCACAGCAGTCAGGTCTGTTCTACTGTATGGCTGCGAAACATGGTCATCGAAGATAGAAGATATGAGAAGGCTTCAGGTGTTTGACCACCGTTGCCTTCGTAGTAGAGGACGTATTCCGTGGTGTCACCATGTGAGTAATGCAGAAGTTAGGCGTAGAGTTTTGGGGAGAAGAGGTAAGTCAGTCGACGAGATTGTGAACCTTCATCGACTGAGATGGTTGGGACACGTACTACGTATGCCTAGTCACCGATTGCCTCGTCACACAATGTTGGCTGAGGTGGGTCCAGGCTGGAAAAAGACCCGAGGTGGCCAGACCAAAACATGGCACCAATGTATGAAGTCTTTGACTGTTGGTCTAAGCCATGTAGGACGATGCAGACTAGGTGGTTGGGATCGGCGGGACAAGAGGAACCAGTGGTTGGAGACTCTAGATGATATGGCTCAGAACCGAAGTCAGTGGCGCAGATGTATACACACATTATCCTCATCTTAACAACGTTATACCGAATCTCACCATTTTGTCACTCCTCTTTCCTTTCTTCTCGTACTTTATATTTCTTTTGACTGCATTCACTTATCTTCATCCTTCGCCTCACTACCTTTTTACTTGATGTGCTGATATGAGGTGCGGCAACTCGGACCGTTACGCAGTAATGCCTGGTCCTATGTTGATATTCATGATGAGTTCGCACTGCTAAAGTTTCCCATACTATGACGAAACAGCTGTCCAGTGCTACGGGGTTTTCAGAGGTTCTTCGAGTAACGTCACTACGTGGTGAATAGCACCTTTGAAAAAATAAATTAACGAGTAAGCGTATTGGCGGCTTCTGTAGATTACTCGTTGTCACACAAACGTTTAACATGCTGCAGTTCCGATTTATGCTTTATTTGAGCCACATGTACTGTAGAGGAGTTGGTGACATCATCTGTCTCCCCAGAAGTTTCAGTAGATTGTGTTCAGAACTGTTAAAAGATAAATGTTCAATTCAAAAGTCTTCAATAAGGAGACGAAAGGTACTGGTATTTAGGGTTCGGTAGAACCTTAAATGTTGTTGAATGAACGTCAATTATGCCCGGAAGGGAAGTTGAATAAGTTTTCATAGTAACCACATATAGTGGAGAAGGTAAAATTAAATTACTGCGTTATAATCTACAGTCTTTTAGTCTTACATAAAGTTTCATGAAGCGATTTGGTAATCTACCGATGTCACATCTTATTCGTTTGACCGTCTTTCTACCTTTTACTTGTCATTGGAAAATATCACAAGTCGGACCACTAAAGTTTTGTGTTATTCTTCGCGTTGTTCTCTCTACTTATAAAGTCATTATTACGATAGAAATCTTCCTTCACTCAATTTGCAAGTAATTGAAAATGCAACTTAGTTGACTTGAAGTATGTAAATAACACTGTCCTGGTAGGCAGTAGTAGAATAATGCATCCTTCTGAGTATTTTTAGCATGCGTATTGCACCTATCGAATGTAAGGTCACATTCCGAGACTAATCTGAACCAACGCGTAGGGAGTGAAGTAGTAGGACGCACTGACCATTTCAGTCACTTAGGGAGTTGCATCAGCCCAAATGGCTTGGTTATTGACGAAATCTCAGTTCACATTCAAAGCATCTGCATGGCGTCATCTCTGACATAGACGAAATATCTGAATATTTTTAAACGACAAGTATTCTGCATTACAGCTCATTCTTTACTATCATACAGCTGAAAGACCTTTGAAGAGATATCAGGTTTTCGCAGCATTGCCCACGTACGGTGGAATCACTGTGTGAGCAATTTCGTAGTTGAAGGGAGCTGGGAAAGTCAGTCAATAAGGCTGTGAACCTATACCGACTGAAGTGGCTTGGACATCTGCTACGTATGCCGAGCCACCACCTGCTTCGACGTGCAATGTCAGCCGAAGTAGGATTATATTAGGAAGTTCAGGGTCACCAAACCAATCTACGAACTTTTTTTTATTCTAACCCGGGTCGCCAGTTAATTATTTTCGTACCTGTTTTGTTCCTTACTAACATGTCCCATTTAATGAATCGACTTATTACTGGTATTCATTTCTTATGTGCTTGTCAACTATTTCATTCACAGTAACGTAAGTAAACTCTAGTCCATGCACTTTTCCAGTCAATTTTCACATCATACTTGACACATTTTGGGCTTTTTGTGTTGCTAGCTCGTATTCGTTTTCCCCGTATAACATGGTAACCATAATGAAGTATGTAGTATCCATTTGAGGTGTTTTACCAATATTTGTGAATCCAATAAATTCTCTTTTCTATACTCTTACTGCTGTTTTGGAATTTTTATTAAAGAGCAATCCAGTTACTTTCTTTTCGCTTCAGGTAAATATGTCGGTAACCGTCCTATCAAGCTTAAAAAGAGTGATTGGCGCAAACGCCAACTAGAAGTTCATCGAAAAAAGGAGAAAGAAAAACGCAAACTTGGTTTGAAAAACTGATATTTTTTAGTACTGACCTGTAAAATAGTTCGTGTATATTTTCTTGTTACTAAAGCGATGTAAAATTTTATCATTTTCATTTCCGATGAGTTTATCTTCGTCTTCACCCTTTGATAAAGCTATGTTAGGCTATGTACTGATAGTTTACAGGGGATAAATCTTTGCATCTCCTTATTTTTTATTGATATCTTGTCAGTGCAGATCTTGAATAGAATCGTAATAATCCATATTCCCCCCTTTAATCCTTGAAAGTGCAAACACTAGTAGATTTACTAGAACACCAATATTCAAATGTGAAACAAAACGCGTAGCGGAAGACCACAATATTTCTGTGGATGTAAAACGTTTTTGCAGGATAAGTGTAACAAAAGTTTCTTTCATGTGATTCATATATGATAGTCACGCAGTTCCGGCATGTGATCAATATCTTCGTCACAAAACTATCTACATCCACGAAATTTTCGTTACCTTCCAATGGTTCACTACCGGGGTGATTGCAGAAACATGTTTCCATCAACCTTTTAAAACCAATTCATCAGCGCAAAGCGCGTGTTATAATTATCATGAAATGAATGATTAAAGTTGTGTGTATGTTATCGCGCAGCAAACCGATATCATAATTATAGTTATAATGTAAGACAAAAGCTTGGCACAACGTAGGCAACAAGAGATATGCCAAACAATATAATATTGCTACTTAGGTAGTAGGAAAAAATGAAACAGAATCATATATGGATTATAGTGGGAGCGGTTTCAGAAATGAATTCGAGCAAGCACTTCTTACTTTCATTTCACTTCTCGATAATAATAAAAATGCTAGAAAACTTTCGTTTGTTCGCTATTGGTGTCGATCCTAAGTTGCATGGCTACATCTAGCTGGTCCTGAAGCCCAGCACAAATGTTTCTTACTCCACGGCATCACGTTGTTCGTTGACCATCCCCCCATTTCTTTCAACCAGTCCTAGGGCAAGCGGGGGAAATAATGATTGAAAATGCATTCTCAGCTCGCAAGTGCTCGTTTTCATAGGTGTGGAGCTGTTTGACCGACAAAATCAATGTAGGACCTTGCACACAGGTCTATCGGCTCAAGTTGCCACACTTTACAGTAGTATAAAAAGAACAGGCGCATAGTAAAAGACTGATATCAAAGTAGACGAAATTGTGTGAGAGAAACAACCTGGAAGTAACGGTTAGTGAAAATATCCAAACTTTAAGTGTGGTAATACATCTACGTCGTGGCCGATTTCCAGCCATGTCATCAGGAGTTATTAACCACCGATTCTTTTCATCTACATCGCCTCACATGGCTCAGACCAACAGTGAGAGACTTCATGGAGTGGTTTTGTCTTGATCAGGCCACTCAGTACGTTCTGACCTAACCCAGCTTCCCCTAGCGTGGATCGTCGAGGTAAGCGTTGGTTCGGTATGTGCAGTGCATGTCCAAACCATCTCAGTCGCTGAAGGTTCACAGCCGACTCAACTGTCTTGCCTAGTACCCTTCATCGGACCCCAATACGACGATTTCACCAAACTTGTGCAATGACAGCGAGACATCTGTGGTCGAAACCCTGCTGTTCTCGAGCTCTAGTTAGGCGTCGGTTGAGCATGAGCGCTAGGATTTTGGTCACAGTATGAGTCAAACTTGTCCCCTTATGATTGTCACAGGAAGACTTCCTTCCTTTTTTATAAACTGGACTGATCAGAGAAGTAGACCAGTCTGACGGGATTACCTCTGATTCCCACACACTGTCAGGTATATGCCACTCTAAGTAGTAATTTCCTACCTCGATCCTTGAAAGCTTCGACTGGTAAACTGTCAGGTTCAGCTGTTTCATATTATTTCAGGTTCGACACAGCCTTCTTAACTTCAAGGAGAAATGGAGGACCGACATCACGCCATTCAGGTTCGTGATGGATAACTGAATGGTTGCTGAGGGTCAGTTGTACTGTTCTTCGGAGTGTTCCGCCCAGCATTCTAGCTGTGTCCTGGAAGGTTACCAGTGTCCCATACTTTTGGGTGATGGTTTCACTTATCATCATTATCGCTTTGCCAGTAAGGTTAATAAGCCTAAATAGTTGTCGAGTTTTACCAAACGCTGAGACTTTCTGCATTTCTCTCGCTTTGGTCACCTACCACTGCTGGCGATCGGGAAAGAGACTTGGTCAATTTACGTCCAAGTTGCTTTTGCTCTTCGTCGTGGTCAGAGCAAGCTGGAATCAGTTTTTCCATCAATTCGTTTAGATGGCATCGCGGAAATCTAATAATGTTTACTAACTTTTGTGTGTAGGTTGCCACTTGTGTATACCGCTGTTTTTACAGCTGACTTAATATCAAGCTAGGTTTCTTCAAGATGAGCATTGTTGTCACGTTTAGACAAATGCTTAGCTAACTTCTCGCTAAGTGCGTACTTGGCATCCTCGTCTTCTAATCGAGCACAGATAGAATTTACTGTCTCCTGCCACCACTGCAGCGCAAACATATATGAGCGCGTAACAGCGTTTGCTCGGAGTCGAAATTGGTACATTACATACTACAGGGAAACAATGTCTCCAAATAAATAGGGTAAATCATCTAGTAACGATGCAGCTAGTTAGATAATCCCTATGTAGTAAGGGTAATGGGCCGTTTGTAGACGAGTCAGACTACCCTACAGATGTGGATGGATGTGAATTATCGACTAATCTCTTCCCTTCCCATCTTTATTGTCGCTAATGAAAACAATTTATAAACTGTGAACCAGTCAAAGAAATAATCGACATAAAAGTCATGAGTATTGTAATTCGTTTTGATTTCTGTGACGAAAAAAACGTACTCACCCTTCTGCATATCCGTTCAGTAGGTGATGAGCCACACTTATTAAGTTAGGGCTGGTGGTACTACCTGGCTGCCTAAACCTAGATAGGTGGGGCGGGGTTCGAACTCATGACCCATTGGATGAAAGTTAACTCCCTTAACTACTGAGACAGCCCCACTATGTGATAAGTCCTAAACTGCATATCTCACACTTCAAGGTTAAACTAACAGTACGAATGATCAGCTCATTTCTAATTTCTCTTATGATTCGTCTACCTAACGCTCAACTTATTCAACTCTGTCAAGTCAAATTTTGATCCCGAAGTTTGTAAAATGTTTACAAACATATTTCCCTTATGATCAGCTCTACTCTTGACCAGTCACCACAAGAAATCACAATGAAGATAATTTTTACACAATCAAAAATATCACAGCACAACTGGAGTACAAAATCAATAGGAATTCAGTTTTCTGCAGAATAGTTGCGAAATATTTCAATCTTTTTTCATGCGCTTTTGGTGAGCTATATGAAGACGTTTAGACTTAACCAGGAGACTGTTTATCTGTAAAACGAGTAACACCTACATAAATGAGCACATGTTAAAAAGTGAACTTACGGTAATTACTAAACTGTTAAGAATGGCAGGTATGCTCCAAATGCATGATATGAAATATCCACGACTATCAAAATATTGCTCAGTGGCAAATAGGCTAGAGAAGTGAACAGTCAACAACTGATAATTACTTCCAGCGATTAGCAGCTATTTCATTAATCCAATCTGAACACCAAACAGTGCCAACTAATTCATAAACAAGACAAAATAAGAACTTACGCAGGAAAAATAAAACACACAGTAGCAAATTTGTGAAGTTGCGGAGAACAATCAAACACATGGAGGTGATTATATGGAATCCAATCAGTGAAACTAACCAAAGTTCGTTCTTCCATGGTATCTATAAATAATGTTATCAAAATCAAATCGTCACACCAATGCAAGTGCTTCAAAAACTGTATTTACAGTCACAGTATTTGTTGTGTTGAAGAAATGGGAACTGAGATTCATTTGTTAGGAACAATTCTTCACGTGTGGAAAGCACCTATAAAAAGAATGTTGAATGCAAAAGATCCAAAGCATTATCAAAGTGCCACGCTTATTCACGTAACACCTGAATGCATAAATAAATTGCCAGTAAGCACCTCAAAGTTAATTGATAAAACTAACTTAGACTGAGAAACTATTTTCTAACCATTCACTACAGAAAATAGTTTCTGTGCATTAGGCAAATCAAAGAAGTCATGTGTTTTAGCAGCCTCACTTGTTAGCCGTGAGCTTACAATAATCATATTAAGCTAACAAGTTGGTGCACTAATTCACAGGAAAAATGTGCATAGAAAACTGCTGTAAGCTTCGTATCAGATCGGTTAAAAATCGAAATGAATCCAGTAGTCACGTACACAATCGGCAAGGAGCCGAACGTATAGTGTGAAGGATAACAATACTATCTGGCCGCCCAACCTCCGGTAAGTAGAGCAATATTCGAATCCGCGGCTTCCGAGCTGAAAATTAATTCCCTGAATCAATTAACCACAAGTTCAATCGTATCACAGAGAAGGTTAAGATGCTCGACCTAATCTACTGACTTGTATTCTTGGCCTAGTTTCCTACTCTTAACCTGAAAATTGTGTACACGATAGTTTTACCACATGCGAATAATGCCATGAGTACTCATGTCTTTCAGTTGTGATTGTTTTATTGTCGTACGAAAAGTGCGAAAAGATGAGCATTATAATCCCTCTTCAATAGGTGGTCTGATATTTCATGACACGAACAAACGTAGCATGAGGTGGTATATATCCCAATGAACTTCATTATCTGAGCGCAGATTCTGTCAGCAACCAGTCTGTTACGACTGATACGTCTCCTTACGGCGGCAACAATACTGATCCTGAAGAAGCCTGGTACCACTTTCTATTTGTTGCAAATACTGCAAATAACCCCCAGGAAAACGCTAGTCAGAGGATCTCAGCAGCTTCTGAAGTAATGGACGCATGCAAACACATTACTGCAAGCTCCGAGTACAGTGAAGAATGGAAGCAACCTAAATATAGACTGACAAAAGTGTGCACAATAATGGTGAGCAGTGGTGAGTAATAACGATAGGTTACCTTAGGCAGTTATTAGACTCATGAAGCAAACTGGGGCAAAACTGTTTGTGCCTGGTGAGACCTCAGAGAACACAAGGTGACAATAACCGTCCTTACACTTGAAGCGAGTGCTGACCTAAAGCAAGTGATTGCCACGAAAAAATGTGCGAAAAGTTCACCATCGTCAATTTTACAGAACTGGACGCCATAGACACCTTTAGGATGCCATTTTCACTGACTCAAACCCGTCCATAAGCGCAGAAGTTATTTACTACCATACCTATATTAGATTTCCCTACTTTGCGTAGTGAAACTGAGAACTTTTGGTAGAAACCAACCTGCCGTCAAAGCGCTATCTCTAGGCGCGTGGAGTGGCAACTTGAGGAGATGCAGCCATGTGAGAGGTTCTATGTTGTTGTCACCAGTTAGTTATCTGGGAGCGTGAGCAGAAACTTCCTAGAGGCACCGGTAAGTGTTGAGATTATCCCTGGTTCTTCCACATCCATCTACATCCACATACTGGGTAGGGCGAGGATGGTAATCGACTGGTTTTCGGTCATGATCAAATATCGTCCCTGTCAACTGCCTTGTACATAAGGGGTTTCCAGTCACTACAGGCATTCCTTCAGAGAGCTAGCAAAGGCATGCCATATTCATTCATGCAGTTCATCGTTAACTTATTTTCCCCACACAACTGGACTTGAGTATATATTGACTGGGTAAATACAACATGTGTAATCCAACGGGGGGAAATGAGAAATGATCAGTGTGGATCCACGATACAGACAGTTTTGCTGTGACTGGGCATCTGATCATATGAAGAGGATAGTCAACTGATGATTAGCATCAAGTGTTGAAATTACTTGACCCTCATGATTATCATGTGGTTAAGTTAAGCTAAAAAAGGTATATATGACGTCAGTGAATACATATCGATTTTTTTTCGATGATCAAATTTCACATGGAATTATGGCTTTGAATGAACTCATAACAATTCACATACTTGGTGCGACCCTCACTCAATATATATATATATATATATATATATGTATATATATATATATATATGTATATATATATATATATAGGATCAGGACAATCAGACTCTAAATACCTGTTACGGCGTGGGATATTTGTGCAGTGGATATTTACTGAAGTACGTGAGTTCCCACAATTTCTTTTTAACCAAGAAAATTAGATCCTCAGTACTTTTTAAAAACTGGTACATCTCCCTCACTGCCGTGTTGGATCTAGATGTGCATAAAAACTAATGCTGAAAGTCAGTGTTTTGTTGGTTCCCCAGTTAACAGTATCTTTGAACTGGAGGTGTGGCAAAGTTAAAAAATGCAGGGTCAGATGGGGGATTTTCCACTCTGCACCAAGCTGTCCACACTTACCTATGCACCTAACGTCACTTTTGTTTTCCTTATCTCAGTGTCATGTGTTCCGCGATTCGCCGTATTCTAGCTATGGCTTTTTCTCTGGTTCCAAGCTGTTTCATCTACTGACTAGATGTTTCATCTGGATCGACCCTGCATAGTAGCATTTATTTGATGAAACCCGTGGTAAAATCTGTAATACTGGAAGATAAAGACGGAGAGTCATGACTCGTTTGTCTCTAGAGGATTGCAGGTGACCATCATGGCCACAACTAGTGGCCCTTAAAAGCCGATAAGATGCAGCTGGTTTCAATCAGCTTGCTGATCAATGAAGACGTAATGTAACCGATCAAAAGCCTGTAACCAGATGGTCACCGTCAGAAGTCTTATCTTGTTAATCGTTTGCATAGGTTTCACAATCGTTTCGTTGCACACATTAATATATCCCTGTTAGTATATGTTTCTGAGAGTGGACACTCGAACACAAGTTTTGACGGTTTGCTAGTTACTGGCAGGTCCTAAGCCTTGATAATGAGTGAAGGTTGGGCATAGGGCCAGCAACCCTACCCCTTAAAACCAGTCTGACTGCTAAAGAAACTCCAAAGCACAAGGAAATAACTAAGAAAACAAGTAACTTATTCCTCTCTGGAGTCTGGAAGCCAGTCGACCGACGTGTCGCCCCTCGATGGAAGCAGAAGTAAACATGAGGACATGGAATGTCCGAATAATGTTTGAACCTGGCCAGGCTACACAGATTGCCACAGAGATGAGAAGGCACAGCACAGAAGTGCCAGGCCGGGAATCTGCGAAAGCAGATGGAATGGAAGTGGACTCTCCAAACTGTCAACTGGAGAGTCAATCTGCCACGATATTGTCACCCAGACAACGACCACGAGCACACTGGGTTGAGAGGAAGCAGGTTTTCTGTAGCCTAGTCAGGGATTCTCGTAAGGTCCTCCTGGAAGACCAAAATATCTATTGGCACCTATATTTCCTTCCAAATCTTCAGACCATCGGCATATAATAGTGGATGGAAATTGAAAGGATCCTGGTAGGTCACTGGTAAAAGCAAGGAACAGTAGTGGGCCAAGAATAGAACCTTGAGGCACACCACTCAGCATCGGGAACCAATTAGATGGAGAGGAGTCAACTCTGACTGCAGCCTGGTATTAAGATGATCTCTAGGATTCGGATTCATCACTGAGGGAATCTGCTCCAAAGGCATGCTAGCAGGGAGGCAGTCCGTGACTGCAATGATTTCCCCTACCTCCATTCACGCATGAAATATTGGAAGTGGTTATACCGGAGAACAACCTATGATTGCGCTACTTCCCTTACTGCTAACTTTAGGGGTCTTTTTTGGACCATGAGACTTCTTTCGATTTAGGTTGGTTTGCGTGGAGGCCTCAACTGTCAGGTGATCGGAGTTCTGCATCACTAGCTGCCGGCCTATTTGGTACTTACTTTTGGACCAGCAACATGGACAGAGATAACGATCCCCGCCAAAAGAGCCACTAAACAGTGCTTCATAACAACCGGATGACTGGCTAAGGCCACGGGAGCAGTGAGTCCATTGAGGGCACGGCCCACAACCAATCGCCTTAGCCGAGCAGCTGACGCTCCTGCGACAAACCACGCAGACATCCTTTGAAACTGTCGCTGGACTTAATGAAGGGTAAACAAATGTCTGCAGAGGGAGTTCTGAGCCGCAACGCAGTAAATTTTCTCCAGGTGGGGAAGAACGTGTAGTCCATAAGCTGCGGTAAAAAGGTCGTCCTAAATTTCGAGAAGCAAATCCCAGAGTTCCGTGCGCCCCATTTTCTGAGAGGCGATGACGAGTGGAATCTCCGAGTACGTGCCTTAGTGTACACCCTGTAACGTCCCTAATGTCCGAAAGAAATACATTTTTCCCCGTTTCGAAGGGCAGACCTTGGTTCGTCGTGCCCAGGATTTTAGACGGGCCCTCTTTCAAGACAAAGTTAACCATTCGCACCTATATTTAATCTATATCTTCGGATAATCCTCATGTAATCATAAGCTGGAATTAGATGTTGGTGATAGGCAATTTATAGGGGCAAGAAACAAAATTCTACGAAGAATGGAACCCTGAGGAGCCTTACCCAGCACCAGGAGCCCGACAGACATGGAGGAGATAGGTCTAACTAGAAGCCGCCAAATGGTGAGGTAATCCCCATTTCAGCCTAGTGAATCTCCCCCATAAGTTTTAGTTTCTTACTTGGTATATTGATATTAACCCTGCCGACGGCCTTATGAAGGCCAATCAATTAAATTTCATTGCCCTATGATCTTAAAAGGTTGAAATTCAACATAACCTCCTGCAACTTGAGTGTCTCGTTGGTGTGAGGTTGTCCCCTGCAGGTGACAAACCCTTTGGGATTTCTGAGCGAAACATTGGCCACATCGGAGTTAATGCGGAGAATCTGTGGACTGTTCGGGTCCTGTATACTAGGTGGAAGATTGTCCTTCTTGTTTGCCGGCCAATATAATCCGGCACCATTCTGCTCTGGTATAGTGAACCGATGTATCTAGTAGTTTATTTTATCCTTCTGTTCACCGTACATATGCCGCAGATTTCATTGTTGGTGTTGTTAATGACGGTCCACTGATTCCAAGTTGACCGTGTAATTTGCAGCCCCGCTAGTGCTTAACTTCGGCCAGGAATAGTTTATTTCTATTTTTGCCCGTAAGTATTAGAAGATTGGTTTTCCGGATCCTCTTGAAGAACCGCGTTCATTAACGTTCCCCTCCTGGAGTCCAAATCAAGTGGTCTATTGAAATCTATCCAGGCCACAGCTTGCAGGTGTTCTCCCACCTTTTCATTAACAGTTTTCCCGTAGTTTCTGGTTGGTATCTGATCTAATGCAGGTGCTTCAGACATTGGGATGTTGATGGAAACTTGCCTGTAGTCAGTCGGTCCAAAAGAGCTATGACACTCAAGCTGGATACATCAACAATGTGATTGGTTAGGATATAATGTGGTCGGGACGCCTCGTGGTTGAGCCCAGTGAGTTC